TAATCAATGTAATGAAACAAGTCATATGAATGGTTGAATGTGAAACTGATGATGTGCCCTGTAAACTTTCACTCAATCCACAATAAAAACCTTAAAAAAAAAAGAATGACTAAAAAGCTAAGGAAAAAAAGTGGTTCTCAGAGTTGGGTCCAAGGTCTGTCCTATCTTGGGATTACAGCTCTTCGGGGTTTTGACTCTTGGATCTGTATGACAAGAGAAGTGAACTCTATTTCTGTATCTGAGCCTAGAAGGATTTGGGCGGGTGACCCAAATTAGTTCTTGTTTACACACTGAGACAAGTTCTCTTGTTCTGGGTCTAGCTTTTCTCTGGGCTGATAAGTGCTGAAATGACTGTCTTCTACTTGTTGCTGTTAAATGTTGGGTCGGTTCCAACCCATAGCAACCCCGTATAGGGTTTCCAAGTCGCAGCTGGTGAGCTTGAACCACCAACCTTGTGGTTCAAACCAACTTTGCAATCCAACACATTAACCTACAGCACCACACCAGGGCTCATATCTTCTAATAGAAGTGATAAAATCTGAGATGCTGGCAGTAGCTTTAGAAGCAAAGATTCTAGGTAGCTAGGTACTTCTACCAGGTGCAGCCTAGCTCCCTAGAATTCTACAAAGCCATAAATATCCATGTTCTGGTCAGTATCCTCTGTAATTATGTAATTCCCCTGAAGCAGAAGTGATACCTGGTAGAAGTCAATAGTTAGAAGTTAAAAGCCAATATCTCCTGCCAACTATAAATAGGTAGAATAGTTTATCCCAGTCATATATCGACTATTTATCTGTCTATTGAGCATCCAAAATTAACACAAATTGAATGTTATGAAGACAAACTGGGGTTAGTCATACTATGGCTGTAAGATTGAAAAAAAGAAAAATTTAGTACTGTAATCATACAGTAAAAATAGGCAAAAAGTAATTGTTTGAGAGATGTGGAATCAATCATTCTAAGTTTGTCTCATTAAGATAAATATTGCATCTTGTTGTTAAATGCCATCGAGTCAGTTCTGATTCACAGTGACCCTGTATCATTGGGGTGGGGAATGTCCAGCCCATGAACTGTATATAGTTGTTTTTTGTTAAGTGCAGTTGAGTTGGTTCCGACCCATAGAGACCCTGTCTCCAAGGAGCGTCTGGTTAGCTTGAATCATCGACCTTACAGTTCAAACCAATGTTGCAGTCTGGCACATTAATCATCAGCACCAAACCAGGACTCCCCAAGAGCTGTATAAGGCCCTCAAAATCATTTGGTCTGGCCTTGCCAAGGCAACCACAGTTCCAGCCATTGCATTGGGGATGAGTTTGACCAAATATAGCAGACTAATTTTTAAGTTGATAATTTTTTATGACCACCCATGAATGACGTTGTAAATTTTGGCGGGAAAAAGGTTCTCCACCGCTACAAGTATATAGAGTTTCTGAAGAGCGGAAAGAGTAGGTTTGAACTGCTGGCCTTTAAGTTAGCAGTCCAGTGCTTAATTATAGCACCACACCAGGACACAACTATAATAAAACATATACATTGTTATAAAATACCATGTAATACTTACACCTTCTGCATATTGCAAGTATCGTTTATTGGTTTCCTGTTTACCAAATGTCTCCAAAAACTTTTGACGGTAAGCAAGAACAGTATCCACATGTGTTTTATATTTTACAGCCAATTCAAGGGCCCTATAATGAGAAATACAACAGATTATCAGTACTGCTTATGTCAGCCCCTATGAGCAACAGAGTTTGGGGTTGAAGGGGTGGGAGAGATGGTCTTGAAGGGCCAGATCAAGAATGGCCTCTTCTTCCTATCTCCTCTCATAGAAATTAATGACCCTTATCTTATTTGTAAGGAGCTCTGCTAGCGTAGTGGTTACAAATGGGCTGAGAACTTCAAGGTCAGCAGTTCGAAACTACCAGCTGTTCTGTGGGAGAAAGAAGAGGCCTTCTGCTCCAGTGAAGATTTACAGCCCCGGAAACCCTGTACAGGGTCGCTATGCGTCAGAACTGACTCCACAGCACATAATCACCACCACCATCTTATTTGTGTTTTATTGTATTTTGTGTGATGCTATAAGATAAACACTAGACTGCTAACCACCATGTCAGCAGTTCAAACCCACCAGGTGCTCCTTGGAAACCCTTTACAGGGTCACTATGAGTTGGACCTGACTCAATGGCACCTAACAACAACAACAATTAATGTGGCACTGTAGGATCAGCACTGGATTGCTAACCGCAAGGTTAGTGGTCAAAACTCACCATTCACTCCATGGAAACCCTGTATGGGGTCGCTAGGAGTCGGAACTGACTGGGTAGCACTTAACAACAATACTTATCACAGCACTGGTTACAGTGTATTATAATTATTATTTATAAATCTTTAGTCTACTCTACTAGCCTATACTTCAATGAAGAAAATTACAGGTTTCATTGTCTTTAGTGAGCAAAATGTTCATTGAAAAATTTTTGAATCATAATAAAAGTTCTCCCACTTAAAGTGGTTCAACTACCATGAGTATTTTTATAAATCTATATATGTTGTTGTTGTTGTTGTTGTTAAGTACCATGGAGTCGGTTCCGACTCATAGTGACCCTGCATATGGTTGTAAATCATTACGGGAGCAGAAAGCCTCATCTTTCTCCCACGGAAGAGCTGGTAGTTTCTAACAGTGGACCTTGAAGTTAGCAGCCCAATACATAACCACTACACTACCAGAGCTCCTTAATCTATATATTATTGTTGTTGTTAAGTGCCGTGGAGTCGGTTCCGACTCATAGCAACCTTGTATAGGGTTTCCAAGGTTGTAAATTTTTACGGGAGCAGAAAGCCTCATCTTTCTCCCGTGGCACAGCTGCTGACCTTGCGGTTCGCAGCCTGATTCATAACCAGTATGCTACCAGAACTCCAAAT